GTGGGTTTTTTTTTTTCCCCCTATCTCACAATCTTCCCCCCTCTACCTTTAAAACAGTATGTAGTCACTTCCACCTGTAGGAGTTTAAAGGTGTACAGCTCTGGAAACTAAAGGCTCCTACAAGCTTTATTTTTTTCTTCCACTTCTGCACTCTGTTACAAAATAGCTTTAGCAGTGCCCATATTACCAGGGTCTGTTCTTTTTAATTCAGTAGTTACTGATAACCATAAAAGGGGATACTGCCTGCCAAAACCTTGGGGTCTGAAGAAAAAGTTTAGCAGCTTAATGCAGACTAGAACTATGTGCATTTGTGTTTTTATATGGGGGAAGAGTACAGGTGCATTTCTCTGAGAGATGAGATTAATTCATACTTGAATATGAAATATTGAACAACACTTTAGACTTTAAACTACTGTAGCTGTTGACCAACTTGCAGGTGTTTTAAACTGTCAGCATATACTCTTCAAAAATTCAAGTTCAACCAGACCAACAGCAATAGCATCTTAAATTTAACTCTACATAGTTTTCTGCTAGTTTATTTTATATTTGTGCTATTGACAGGTAGCTCATATTCATAGCAGAGTGGGATACTCATGTATGTGTGGTGGAGTTAAAGCAAATAAAAAAGCCCCAAACTGTATCTTAATTTTCTTTGTGATTTAAAAAAAAAAAAAAAAGGCAAGCTTTAAACCTGTTTTGAGTTGAGTGTCAGGCCTGGATAAGGTCTGCTAAATCTGCCTCTGTCGTTGTAGCTGGGATGGGACTTTCTGTTGCTGTTTAATACTTCTTGGTTTTTGTTAATGCTTAACTTGAGTGACTAGCAGATTTGACATACCAACAAGGTAATGACCCCTCCAAGGCCTTAACCTCCCTAATCTTCTCTGTAGAAGGTTAGCAATGAAACCTGCCCTTTCTCTTTGAATAAATTCGGTAGTTTAAACTAAGGGGTTCCAAAAGTAATGTATCATGACACGTCACAGATAAAAGCTAGAATGTCTGCGTGTCTTTTCAAGAGGGAAGATGCTGGAATAGAGTGTGATCTTCGTGATTTTAGGAAAAAAGTAAAAGCTAAGCCCAGGAGTGTTGATCATTATCATTTTCTGGCAAAAATGTAACTTGTAAATACAACTTCGAAGTTGGAAAAATGAGCACTTAAAGTTTATTTCTCAGTGATAATTCACTTTTCATATAAAAAACCAAGAAAAAGCTCCTTGGTTTTGTGAGATTTAGGGGGTGGGGAAGGGTTATAACAACTTTACTTGTTTTATACTAACTTTCATGACTTGCTGCTGTTAAAATGAATGAACATGGGCTATCTAGCACTAGTTAGTTTATTGCATCCTTAAATGAGTTTAGCAAATTTTCTTGCCAAATGCCATTTTTTTCTGTGATTTTTATAGAAGTACTTTTCTGATATCTTTTGGTGTGCTACAGAACCCTTAGAATAGCCTTAACTTCAGCAGGTGTAAACAGTTGAACTTTAATGTAAATACTTTTAGCTAGAAATAACCTATATTCTCTTACACTTTAAAATATATTAGTATGGAAGCTTTGTTGTATCTTCTGGAGTTCTAAAGTCTTCCAGAAAGCAGCTGTGCTGACCATTGTTACATACCATCCCAGTAAAAGTGGACTTACTAACTCCTCAATCTCCAAATACAGGTGAAACATTTGTGTAGGATGGTCCTCTGCTGTTGACAACATCCTTACTTCAGTCTTCTAAGTAGAGGCAGTAACTGTTACACAAAGCCAGTTACGGTCTTTACAATTACCTAAGATGTGTATATCAGGTGATTGATTTAATAGGTTATTTAAAGCTATTATTTCAGTGCACAGTTTCAGAACGTACTTCATGCCCTATGACCACACTCCTATGGTCGCATAGGGGTTGGAGGTAATACTGCTTTGAGTCATGTCAGCGTGGTGTTTTGTGATGGCAGACGTGTACGTGGCACTGCCAGGGTTGTGCTGTAAACCAGATCAGGGGAGTGAGCTGATGTTTGGTTGGGTTTTATGTGTTCTGGGGGCAAGGTGAAAGATACTGCTTTCAACTTAATAGTTCTCGAATGGGTGAAGCATGGACCTTACAAGCAGGTGGAAGACACGGCTCCTCGGCATTACTGTGTTTTTAGAATTCAGGAATTTGAATTCTAGGAATTTGCTTCACAGAATCTGGGTCTGAGTGACATGGTGTCTTCCCCCCCCCCCGAACTCTGGTAACAACATCAGCCAGGCTGTGCTTTGCCATCCCCTCCAGTGAAGTCTCATATCTGCTGAATTGCATATGGATGAGTGAAAATTGCAGTCAGACCATCAGGAAGTTGTTGCACAAAACTAAAATATTGAATGCTCTAGGTTACTGCTAAAACTAAAAACAAACCACAGAAGTGGTCTTAAATTTGCTTTTTGGTTTCAAATTAATGGCAAAAATGTGAGGAAATTGTAGGTCAAATTTAACTTTGTAGTATAAGTAAAAATACTCATACTATGCAAAGGATGTTCATCTATTGAGACCTTTTGCTTTCTGACTGCTTTTTTTAGTAGCAGTCTGGGTCTGATGCTATTTGTGTTGACATTCTTAATTTTTTTTTTTTTTGAGAGAAATTGCTTTAGTGGCTTCCTTTGGCCTTAACTTGAATTGCTGTTTTATATAACAAATCTGAACAGCTTAAAAAAAAAAAAAGTTTTCATGCATAAAATTCTAAGATCTATATGATTTGTTCAGCTGCTACTAAATTCTTCATTTAAGTCAAGGTGACTGCTTGCTTTGGCTATGAGGTTTTAATGTCAAATAATGCTCCGAAACATGATTACTTGGGGGTGTTTGTTTTAATGTACATTTTCTTAGTATTTTCCTATTGCTAACAAGCAAAGGGACAAATATCCTGAAACTTGCATTGTGACTGAATTCTTGATCTCAAACAAATTATAGTACTTAGAATGGTTTCAAAATGGAATTAATTAACTTGTGGAAAAATTATATTAGTGGTTTTTTTTATTCTTGTCAATTTTAAGTTAAGGTGTTCTTAGTCTTTATGTAAATAAGGAATGAAATCCTGAGGAGATGACAACACAACCTCACTTTTACTTCTGTAATCTGTATTTTTTCCTCACATAATATGTGGATAGCCTGAGTGTGTTTTTCTTGTTTTTATATAATAGAAATAGTACATATCAGTCCTTCAGACTTACACATGTTAATACAGCAATATACAGGGGAATGTTATCCTTGCCAAGAATGGGACTTTGACAAGAGTAGTCAGCTTGAATTCTTGACATGAAAGTCTTTCTTTCTTTAGACTTTCTTTATGAAAGCTGAAGGTGACCAAACTGATGATAAAGCTTTTGTCGTAATAGAATGAATAACTCAGGAAAAAATATTAATGCATGAATTAAAAATATTAGTTACACTTTTGGTATTAAACAATGTTACTTTATACCTCTGAAAAGGACTAATCATATAATAAGACTATAAAATAATGCAGATATAACACTTCTACACACGCATTGCCTTAACTTCAGGTAATACTTGCTGTAACGGCTGGTAAGGCTTTTTGAATAGCTGTTGATAGAATAGCCAGATTTTCTGAAACGTGCATTTTCATGAGAGAATGTAATGTTTTTTGTTGGTCTCTGGAAGGTTGATTATTTTTTGAAACCAACTTGTTACTTGAACTTCTCAGTATGCTTAAAAACAATGATTTGTTACTTTCAAAAATCAAAGTTGGGGGAGTAATATTCACAATTTAGAAGAAAGTTGCCTATCTATCAATGTCAAACTAGTATTTAATGCTGCAGGTAACCTTTGGAGCTTTTAAAACACAGATTTATGTAGTGCGTGTGTTAAACCTGCGTAGTATATAATGAGCAAGACTAAGTGTTCTTAAAATAGATAGATTTTGTTTAAGTGTTAAAGTATATAATTTATGCTGCAATACTGAGTATGTTTAAGATTATTTTTTTTAGTGGCTACCTGTTAGTATCAGTTCAAAACCATTTTAACTACACTGGCATAGCATGCAGTAATCACTGAATCAAAACAATTGTATGTTAGACAGGACCAAGTTTCGTTTTGAAACACTCAAGAGTTACTAGCCTTAAAGTCAAACTGTTCTGAAAGTAAGTCTGTGTTTAAATGTGAACATCATAGACAAATATATGCCCATTATGGAAAAACTGCATTGCTGTTGTTCATCCAGGATGCTCATCTAGGAAAGCTGTTAATAGTTCTTACAATATGATGGTAACTTTTCTAAGTTCTCTTGCATGGTCTCCTCTTCTGTCTTGTGATGTTGTAATATGGGGCATTGACTTGAGAGTATATTGCTTGATATCTGTGTAGCCTGAAAAGCGCAAGGCAAGGGTGGGTGCTCTGAGGGCTTGTAATTGGGCTGTGTACTAGTGAACTGGGCCCTTGCAGGTTTAACCCACTGTGGTGGATTACATTTACTTTAGGCTTCCTTTCCTGTTCAGGAAAGTAATTATACAAAGTAAAATGTCATGTTAAGAAAACATGAGGGATGTGGAGAGCGTTCTCCTTACAGCATTGGTACTTGTTCTAGGCAAAGGCTAACACAAACCTGATCATCTCCCCACACCCCCTAATGCAGCAGGGCTATATGTAATGCCAGCATAGGTTGGGCTGACACTGTCTAACCCCCCAGTCACATTAGCCAGCAGAGCATTCAGCTTAAACCTAACTCTGTGATGCTGATGGGCTCAAAATATACTGTAGCCTCCTTACTTCTGGGAATGTTTTGTGTCTGAAGTAAGATGATGTAAAAATCATGCTTCGCAGCAACTTGTAACCCTGCGATCAATATGTAGAGTTAGAGAAAGGTAATTCTATTGCTGTCCTTCATAACAGATTGATCTGGGGTGTAAATGCTAACAGTAGGCTTAACTTTTTATTTTCTTTTTTATGTGTCTCTTGTGTACTACTCTGAGAAAAATAATTTTGAAATTTGTTTTGGTTTTGTCAGTAACTTTATCTAATTGCCTTTATTAGTCCCGTTACAACCCAGGGATCACAAACACAGCAACTACAGAAGCATTATGGCATTACCTCACCTATCAGTTTAGCTGCCCCCAAGGAGTTTGACTGCATGCTTACCCAGAAATTAATCGAAACCCTAAAACCTTATGGTGTATTTGAAGAGGAAGAAGAACTGCAACGCAGGTGAGTAAACACTCACTCTAGCAATGGTATTCCTCTGTCTTGAGGTTCATGGTTCATGTAGTTGACTACTGAACTCCAAGCACACTTACATTCTTCCAAATGCTTTTTTAAAAGCCTAGTAGAATATTAAGCTTGAATTCCCCTCCCTGCCCCCCCCCTCAAAAGGGTATCTTGGAACACAGGAATTAAAATGACCTTTAAGTTTCAGAGGCTGGCTTGCATTTTTTTCCCTTCATAACTGTTTTGTTGTACTGGCCCATATACTTTTTTCCTCATTAAGCTTTCTAGAGGTTTTTGGTCTTAATACTACTTCTCACGGTTCTTCTAGGTGCATGTGTTTTATGAATTAAGGTTTTATTTTGAAAGTGATTAGAATTCATATACCTGTGTGTGTAGGCCTTGCATGCTGGCATTTTTTCTGAGCTTAAACCACTTGAACATCTTTAAAGGGGAAAAATAGTGGGAATGTTGTGTGACTTTGTTTCAGCCTGTATATGTAACAAGATCTGTAAGTAGATCTGCAGTGTACCATAGTTAACTGAAAAGATGATCAGGACTTTAGCCCAAACTAGCAGTATTTTTTAAGTGCATGACCTGTGGTTCTGCTGTTTTATTAATAGGATTCTAATTTTGGGAAAATTAAATAACCTGGTAAAGGAATGGATACGGGAAATCAGTGAAAGCAAGGTATGCATGTATTTTACATGGAGCTGCTTATACTTTGACTGCTGTAGGAAGAGAACTCTGAAATATGTTCCCAGCCTAAATGGGATTAATCTTGGATTTGGGGATAGGATTTGATCAAGTTGGTAAAACAAATATCACCCTTTTTGTAGCTGCTTTTGTTTCCAGGCAGCTTAGAATCACAGAATTGTTAGGGTTGGAAGGGACCTTAAAGATCATCTAGTTCCAACCCCCCTGCCATGGGCAGGGACACCTTCCACTAGACCAGGTTGCTCAAAGCCTCATCCAGCCTGGCCTTGAACACTTCCAGGGATGGGGCATCCACAGCTTCTCTGGGCAACCTGTTCCAGTGCCTCACTGCACTCTCTGTGAAGAATTTCTTCCTGATACCAATCTAAATCTAGCCTTCAAACTAGAACCCTGTCAAAGAAAGAGACTGATAAATACTGTAAAAAGTCATGGTAGTTGTAATACTGATTTCCTCCTCCCCACCCCCACCACGTAGAAAGATAGCTGGGCTTTTTGTCAAAATACATAGGTATAATACGATGTTAATTCTATACTTAGATTGTTTGGCTTTGTGAACCGATATTAGACCATAAAGTGGACTTATTCCACCTTTATGATCTGTGGTCTTTCTTTAATGTCAGTCCTGCAATATTACTTCCATAAACTCTAGTAGTGCTTATTGTCTCCCTTTCACCCTTCTTTTATACACCTTATTTTAAATTATTATAGACTTGCAAAAATGTGAAGATGGAAGTGTCTTTACCCACAATACAATGGATTCAAGAGTTGTTTGAAGTTACAAATCTAGGAACTTTAGTAAATGTAGCTGAATAGTTTCAACATAAAATACCTTGCCCAAACCAAACACATCAATAAAGAATGTAGTATGGGAGTCTCTGGAAGTAATATAGTAAACATGAATAGTTAATAGTATTTTTTGTTGCTCTAAATTGAAATTAGTCATCTATATCTAATTATAAAGTGCCTGAATATTAAGCAAATTGTGTTTAATGTCTATAATAGTTTAAATATGTTGCACCTAAAGTATAGAACTGCTGGAATAATTACCAAGTTTGAGGCAGTAATGGGTAATGTAGTTGAAATGTTACCAATAGTTCCCAAGTGGCAAACATGCCCCTGACCTTTCTGTAAAAACAAAGATTAATATTTTAGTACTAACTAAATCTTGAACAACATAAATTTTGTGTAATATTTTTCCTTTTATTTTAAAATAAATTGTGTGTGATGTTTTACCTTGACTTATAAAATAACCAATTTTATTTGCTCCATTTAGAATCTTCCACAGTCTGTAATAGAAAACGTTGGAGGAAAAATTTTTACATTTGGATCCTATAGATTAGGGGTCCATACAAAAGGTAACACTTTTTATTATAAATACTCACGTGTTTGAACATATGATGTGTCTGTAAATGTCACACTTAAGTAAAAAACTTGCTGTCTTTGAGATGGTATTAGATTTTTTAAAAATTTTATTTTTCTTCCATCAGCCATCTCTGGTCTTCATTCTAAATAAAAAAAAAAATACGTTTCTATGTTATGTTTTTGTCATGGGTTGGGAAACAGACAAAAAAAGGAAATTATTTTAAAATAGAGTTGTGTACTTGAAATTCCCCTGGTTTGTTCATTGAAAATTACTATGAAAGTTCCACAGTTGAAATGTGTGTGGCCATTAACCATTCTAAATACATTCACACATTTTATTTATTCATTTTGTTTGACTTGGTATTGCCAAAGAATAGTACAGGAAGAGAGACTAAATTTTCCTATTTGATTTCAAAAAAATTCTCACTGTTGCTGGCATTTCATGTGTATGAAGTGTGAGTAACTTGTGCTAATAAACCATTTCAGGTGCTGATATTGATGCCCTCTGTGTTGCACCAAGACATGTTGAAAGAAGTGATTTTTTCACATCATTTTATGAAAAACTGAAACAGCAAGAAGAAGTAAAAGATCTGAGGGTATGTAAAATGCTTGATACAGCTAGCTGAACTGATGATGCTGAAAAGATAATAGTGAAAGATCATGCATTAAATAAGTAAGTGTAACTTTACTGTTAAGGCTTGCAGTGGGTTTTTAGTTAACTGGCAAAAAAGCCTATCACCATAGCTTATATAAATAGAGATTTTTCCAGATTCTGTCTGTTCGTACTTGAGAGACACTCATTTAAAAATTGGATGGCAGAGTGATCTCCTGGCATGTCTGTTAGTATTGCAAAATTTCTACTTGCTCTCTAGCAGCAGGCAGATGCCAATGTAAGTGTTACTTGAAAAGGGTCAGGACCAAACTTTTATGTTTTTAATGAAGGTTTTAAAGTATACTGTTATGCTCCTGTCTTTATAATTTCATGTTTATATATACAATTACAATTGTTGATATTTAACTAAACCTTTTATATTGGCTGTCAACTGTGCATTTGAAAATATGTTTTAGTGTGTCTCGTTATTAGATGCTTGCACAAGATTTTTAGCAGGTAAGATTTCCGTTGCAGGACTGGAAAACACACTGGTATACAGTATTTTGTTTCTGTTATAACTAGATGACAAGCTTCCCTAGGTCAACTAGGAGCTTTAATCTTCTCAATGTTGGCTCAGAGTAAACTTTCTCTGCTGCAATTTTTGGGTTTTTTTTTTAGATGAAGATAGTTGCAGACAAGTCTTAGACTTTGTTTGGCTTAGTCCTGCTCCCATAAAATAAATGGAACGGCCTCAGTAGCATTCTTCCACTGTGCATCCAGTAGTTTGTAACTACCAGGGTACTGGAAACATCTGTTGGTAATACTGTATGCACTGAAATGACTGTTTTGAATGCTTTATTAAATGATCACTTTTGGTAATCTTTAAAGCCACATACTGTAATTAAGATGATTCTTATTTTTGGATTTCCAGTCAACTTTGTGATTAAACTCTTCTCTTAAACTCAAGCTAATGCAGTTGGCGTAGCAGCAAGGTAGATTCATGTATGTTACTGAGCATAGCTCTGCAGTCATGCAAATCATCAGGTATCATAACACTTCTGTTACCATTACAGCTAGGTCTAAGAACGTTTGTACATCTGAAACCTTAGGGAATCTAGACTTTCTTAATCGTTGCTCTAATGAGTTAGTCTGAGACACTTGTGAACTTTTGCTTAGGATCCCTCCTGCGGACCAGTAACATGAAGGGAAGCTTAACTAAGATTAAGTGTATAGAGTAGTGTTGTCACCTCCTCTTGTTAAGAACTGGAACACACTTAGAGCTGTGGTTAGCCTCTGGGACATTTCTTATTCAGAGGTATGCAGTGATCCTTGGTTTTACAAAAGCAGTGCTCTGCTGATCTGCCTATAGTTCAGATGCTCAGTTCAGGAAGGTTCCTGGCTGGTTGCAGAGTAGACATCAAGTTCCATAGTTTCATCACTGATACTGTTTGTCCAGGTACCTTATATAATCGCATTTAGAAGAGATGCTTGAGCTTTGAGGACTGGTTTAAGTAGTCAGACTGCATAGTTTTTGTCATTTCTCAAAATACTGGCTACAGAAACAATAGAAGTAAGAGGTCTCTTGGATAAAAAACGCCCATAGGTTGGCTTTCTCATACTTAGAGGTGCTGTGAAAAGTAAAGGATGCATGATCATGTCCTACATGTAGTGAGAAGGCATTGAGGTAACATCATCAGAGCTCCTTGGTATGAGTTTGGGTTATAATTAGCATCAAGATAGCTGAAGCATGTAGTAGATTAGTGCTTACTGCATAAATCCTCAGTGGTGGAGAAAGACGTTGCTGACAAAAGTCGACCTGAAAACAGAAAAACATCTGTGTAAACAGCTTTTAATTGCAATTGTTCAGACCTGCTACCTATTGCTTGTAAATGTTCTCTGTATTGAAAATAAAACACAACTTTTTCTCCCCCAGGCTGTTGAAGAAGCTTTTGTCCCGGTTATTAAACTTTGTTTTGATGGAATAGAGGTAAAGATCTTTATTTTGTTTTGGTAGAACACGGTTACAATAATTTTAAGGATCTCCATAACTTATGTAGTATTGAATAATATGGATGCTACTGAAGTGACTCTCTGAAGTTCACACCCAGGTCCTTGACAGCAGTCCTCAGTTGTATAATTGAAAGTGTGACATGAAAACTGAACAAGTCTTGGTAGACTTAAAGCAGTGTGTGGCTTTGCTGGGATTTTTTAGGTGCTGCTACCCACTTGTACTGATGCGTTTACTGACCTGTGAAGTACCAGTACTGTCATTAAGACTTAACATTTAGCAGAAATTCATAAATAATACGGCTTCAGTATTTTTTGGCTGCTAAATGATTAACTGTCCAAAGCTTAATTCAGGTTTGCTTCAATACCTTATGCTATAGGAAGTTGTCGTCTTTGGTTAGTTCACAAAAAGGGACTACTGAAGGCAAACTGGGTGTCCCCATTGTCCTGATCTTATGTGAACACATGACCAAAACAATGATTTTGGTGCCTGTAGCCTGATGGATCAGCTGCCTTGGAGCAATGAACTTTGCTTAACTTGATTTTTTTTTTTTTACTATTTTGGGAGAAGTTGCTGAGAAAACAGGAGCACTGCTTTCAAAAGATTCTCTGTTATTCTTTCTCAGACTTTCATGGGGAACCTGTAATCTTAGTGACAAGACAAATATCTGAACAGCTCATACACATAATTCATCAGACTTGTAGCTGGATTATGTCAACCAGCTGTGGGTATACGAAGGGTAATTCATAGTGGGAAAGAATTCCCATGCTAATCTTCTGACATGTGACATTATTTGAAGAGCTGTAGTATTGTACGCAAGGCTGGACCGTTCGTTCTCCCAGTTCTCTCTCTGCTTTGCAGTTGTAACAGTCATTAGGATACTGGCAATTTTTGATTCTCAGGAAGATGAACCACCCCTTTGCTCTGATCCCTCCAGCTTTATGTATTTGTATTTTCACTGCCATTTGTGTCAGTTGACACAGGCAGGAAGATGTATCTTCTCCAGATGAAAGTTGTGCAGATAAATGGGATACCATGCAGTAAGCTAGGCTGTGACTTTGCATGTGTCAGCCGTCTTATTACTGTCCGTACACAGTTGGCAATTAGGAACATTTTTCTGGAGAATGTTTTCTATTTACATAGCTTAGGCATTTATTCTAAATATTGAAACTTGCCATAGGCATCCTCTGCTTAGTTTGTTTTCTGTTTTCTTCAACTGTTTACATTCAAACCAGTGTTGTTTTTCCTTTTCTAAAAACAGAATTCAAAATACAAGCCTAAATAGGAAAATAAAAATTGCCTGGTATGAGAGTAGTAGTATCTTGCTTCAATATAGGAATTTATGGTGGGCTCTGATGGCTTACGTTTATAGCTGAGACTTAACCCATGTTGCTGACAGTGCATGGGAGTTCTCTAGTCTTGAATGCTAACTAGCAACCTGGTCTAGTGGGAGGTGTCCCTGCCCATGGCAGGGGGGTTGGAACTAGATGATCTTTAAGGTCCCTTTCAACCCAAACCATTCTATCTATGATTGTGTGAACTTATCACAAGCACTTTTCTGGTAGATACAAAAGTGTTGCTAGGTCACAACTTCTGGTGGTTGCATTTGTGTCCAGTATGTCAGTATCAGAAGATCTTTGTTTAGTTTTCCTTAATCCAAGCAAAAGGTGTCAGGAGTTATTTTCTCTGTAAAATAAACTTTAGAACTGAGGAAAAAAGCTTCCTTTTTTTGGTGATCCTGCCAGTTAAACTTCAGAAGTTTCTGCCAATACCAGTTTACATCCGCATTTTAGGTTCTTGCTTAAAATGATCAAGAAGCTTGACTTTTTTCTGCTTTCTTTCTGTAGAAAGCTGAATCCCCCTTTTTCTTCCCTCCTTCCCTCCCCGCAACCCCAAAAAAACCCCAGCCCAAACATAAGACACACTATCCTTTTATTATCAATGTATTTAGAAACTTCAGGGGTGCTAGACCTTCTAGAGATCAGAATAGAACTTCAGGCTGAAGCTAATTTTGAACTTGTTTAACACTGAAAAGTAGTACTTCCAACTTAATATATATTTCTACTTGTAGTACAGAACATTAAGACCAGCTATGAAAGACTTGAAAATCAAACGTCCACTGAATACTTAAGAAATTACTTTTCTTTGGAGAAGGTCTTTAAAGTTTGAGAGAAGGATGGAAACTTTAAGCACCTATGAAAAGTTCTTCATTTTAATATAGCTTTGGCTTTGTGTTATGTGAAATAATTTTAGTGTAACTAAAATGGTTTTGTTGTTGGTGCAGTAACACTAGGTATTTCATCTTCGTGTAGATGAAGTGATATCAGTTTATAATGATTAAAAGCCTCATCTGATGAAGGGGGCTTGTTGTCCAGCAGACTAGCTGCTGTGATATGCACGTTATATTCTCGTCATACTGACTGACTGATACCTAATCTACAACTGGAAAGGCAAACTGACCTCTCTAGACTGTGTCATGTCCTTGCTGTGTATGTAAAACCTTAGTTTGGTACTGAATAGTATCTTAGATGTTCTTGACCTAGAAAAGCTATGATGACAAATTATTGCAGAAATAATAGGAAAGACATCTGACAATCTTAATTTTATACAGATTTATACACTTCCTTTGTAGCTTGCAAGATTTTCAGAACTTCCTGTTTTCTGTAATCAGATATGTGGACCTTTGATAGGTATTGGTCCTATACTGAGGCACCAAGTTGCATGTGTGCTTTACAGTGCTAGACAGACACGGTCTACTTTTTCTGTAATTCAGTGGCAACTTTGAGAATATTTATGTTAAAACTAGGTTATGTTCTCGTGACTTGCTCTGACCTAGTAGCATTTTGTGTTCTGGACCTGAAAGTGGTGCTTGTCCCCAGATGATTTTTATTTATATTGACAGTTTACATAGCTTTTATGTGTGTACTGATTCTGCATTCATCTTAATGGGTATTTTGTCATCTTGGAAAAGGAGCTCTAAGACGGATGAAGCATGTGAAAGTGTTTCTTTTAATGTCTGTGAAGGGTATTTGTATGTATTGTTTAAAGAGCTGCTTTGTAATAGGAAGACTACTGTTCTTATTAGAAAATTTGATGGAAATAGGTTACAGAATTAAGCTGCAGAATAATGTCTTATATCTCTTTCTTTTTAAGATTGATATTTTGTTTGCAAGATTAGCATTGCAAACTATCCCTGAGGACTTAGACCTACGAGACGATAGCCTACTTAAAAATTTAGACATTAGATGCATACGAAGTCTTAATGGTACGTATATACTGTTTTGCGTATAAACTTCTCCTCTAATACTTCAATAAGTTTCACAGATTGTTTGATACAATAGTTTAGTTGTGGGCCTAACTGAAAATGTAGCAGCTCCATGTCTGGAAATGTCACAAAATTGCTTCAGTGATAAATTGAGGATATCAAAATACTGGTAGTGAGAGGTCAGGTCTTTATCTTACCAGCTTGTGTAACTCAACTTTTCTATAATATGGCAGCATAGAAAATTTACTTATGTACGGGATGGTAGGGCCTTCAGCCTATATGCAGCTTGGCAGGGAAGATGATCATGTGATACATCACTGACTTCTGCTCTGATCTGAAAACTTGCTAATTTGAGATTACCACGGCAATTTGTACTGTTCTCTGGAATTCACATTTGCATAGTCTCTAGAATTCATATTTGCCTCTCATGTGCTCTGACAGGAACTGCTAGTCTTAGATAATACTGGTTTTTTTACAGACAGATCTCTACTGCTATTAAACTGTAAACAACTACTTATTCTTGATTAAAAAAAAGTAATTTATATTGTCATCTCTAATGTTATTATTAAGTCTGAAAATATCCTGTCAGTGTAGTGATACAACTTGTTTGTGCAAACACTGATTTTAGCCTGTTCTCATAAGTTCAGACAAAGCTTTGACCTGTGATTTCCATGTTTCCTGTAGGTTTGTGAAGTCATGCTTTTTCAGATTTGTCTGCATGTTCTGTGGGACACTGCATGTAATCCTGTAACAGCAGAATTTACAAGCCGTTTAAGAAAAATAAATTGTATAGTTTATTAATAACAGAAAATCGAGTAGCATTCCAAAACTGTAACTATGTGTGCATGAATTGTCGTCTTGAGTGCTGTTGTGAAACTGTCAAAAAAAAAAAAAGGGTGTGTGTGTACCACTCTAAAAACCACCCCCAAACTGAAGTATGTTACGCTTTCTGATTCAAAACAAGTGTGTTCGAAGTATGAAATGAGTTTTCAACATGCTGATCTAAAGTTTGGTAGCTTTGAAGGTGAGGGAGAGTAATCCAGTAAACTTCAGGGGCAGCAAGTGTAATGGACTCTTTATTTTGGCAGGTTGCCGGGTAACCGATGAAATTCTGCATCTAGTACCAAACATTGACAACTTCAGGTTAACACTGAGAGCTATCAAACTGTGGGCAAAACGTAAGCAGTTTTATTCCAGAATTTGTGAAGTTTTCATTAACTGTTATGGTTACTGATAACTCTCTTCTTTTGTCTCTCCTTCTCAATCCACAGGCCACAACATCTATTCCAATATACTAGGTTTCCTTGGTGGTGTATCCTGGGCTATGCTAGTAGCAAGAACTTGCCAGCTTTATCCAAATGCAATAGCATCAACTCTTGTACATAAATTTTTCTTGGTATTTTCTAAATGGTATGTGTTTTTTAATTTAGATTACACTAAAATAAAATTGTTTGTAGACACTAAATTTTAGTCCTGTTTTTATGGTATCATTTTCAGCTGTTACCAGATTAAGATGGTAGTTGTAAGCATTGTTCTTTCTGCCAGAAAGTTGTTAGGTTTTTCAGTAAGTCATCCAACATGTGTTGTTCTGAAGTACCCAAAAGAAAACCAAGCGGTTTTTAATGAAAATTTTCTTAGATATTTGTCATAACTCAGCGTTTCTGTCTAGATAAAATACTTGTATAGTGCAGAATAAAAGCAGACACCCCAAGTTGGTCTCTTAACATTCAGTTACTGGGATAATGGGAAAAGGACACATGTCAGTATCTGTTGTAGGCACATAGCTTAACTTCAGTTCAGGAGAAACAGTAGCAGAAGTGTGGTTTTTAAGCTTGTCAGTGTGGAGAGATAGGTGTTTGGGAATTACATATGGTTTCACACTCCTGAACTAGTTACCTCAGAGAGATGGTTTGAATAACACTGACGATGGGAGTAATAAGAACATTCCACATAAATTCAGAATGAATGGGACAGAAGTCTACTTTGTGGATTACAAATGAATACTGTGTTTCTTGAAAGAGCGTGTCTGGATACATGTCCTCTTCATGAGACATTGACAGGTTTTAAGAATCATTTTAACATATTGTTGTTTTACCTCAAGTATTGTGTTTTTTTCCTTTTTAACGGAAAGATAATTTTCAGGTTGTGTCTTGAATCCATAGGCTTTATAGCCTGAATGTGTTATTGTACCTAGTGTTTAATAACACCTTGCCACACTAAGCTAATAGAGGAAAATTACTTGCAAGCTCTGCTTAATGTGTTCTCTATACTGCTGTCCATGTTGTAAGTGCAGAGCATAGGAGCATTAGTGTACAAATACCAACGGATTAACTGATTTCTGCTCTTTATAGGAAGGTAACTTTACTCATGGGAGTAGAGATGACTTGAACAGCAGCGTTACTTTTCAATGTTTCGCTCAGCACAGTTTCTTTTTGTCTCAATGGGAATATTTTTAATAGATATGTTTGGTAATGATGCTATAATGCCGTAATCATGCTGGTCATCTCTTCCGTAGTTCATCCATAATGCAGCCACCTTGAAGATGGACCCAATGTCGGTCTTCATAGTGCAATTTTTATTTTAAATTCTTCCTGAAATATACCTATCAGTTTACTTCAGTTACCTAAACCGGTGGTTGTAAAGCTCCAAGACCACATGATTGTTGTGATGCCCTGGAGAAGCTAGTTACAGCTGTATTGTAGTTCAGTGATACAGGTTATTTAGGCAGCCCTGGTTAGACCGGCTTAGTCTTGAGGAAGTGATGCTATACCATGAGAACAGAGTTAAGAAGGATTGCATTCGGAAGTGTTGTTTGTTGAACATACATGGTTGTATCCAATAGTCTTATTCAGTGCTACAATCTTTTTGAACAGGGAATGGCCAAATCCAGTGCTATTGAAACAGCCAGAAGAATGCAATCTTAATTTGCCTGTATGGGACCCAAGGGTTAGTGTATTATTTTTTCCCCTATAAGTCACGCTGTACAATAAATTCAGTTGCTTTACAGATCCTAGGTGAACTTTTATTTTGGGTTTATTAAATGTAATGTTTCGTATCTTCTGTATAAGTAGCCTCTAGTTCTCCTGAGTGGAACTTAATTTTGTAAACTGACGCTTGAAGCACACTTGCTGAACAACGTACTTTTTATTCCCAACTTTTGCAATAAGTGATGTTAAATATTCAGTGTAATTAGTTACATGCCTTAAAGCAGTGCACTTTTAAACTGCTTATCGTAAAACCATTTGCTTCTGACTTTAAACCTGTTACTTTTGCAGTTATATTGAATTCACTCCAGCGCAGCAGTCATGACTGCCTGGGTTTGGTTCCATATAGTTGTAGTAATGTGTCTTTTCATCTTGGACCAAAGAAGATCATCTTGACTTAAGACTTGAAGTCTTAAGTTGTTTTGTGTATTATTTATAGTATTTGATCTCTATCTTTGTAGTGCTTGTATTAAGGACTTCAGATGTTAATGACCTTCAGGCAGTCAATAGAACAGCTCCAACAGATGCACAGCTCGCATTGTGAAGCTTCAGTAGGGCATAGTGTGGAAGTGTTCAATGCTGTTTTGTCAATTTTAGAGTAGTTAGTGTTCAACTGATCCTTTTGGTGAATAGTGTAAGCACCAGAGGGGGGGTTGTGTACTTTTTTTGTACTTCATACGTGTTTTACTGGCTGACAGAAGTCCATGTTTAAATAATGTGGGACAGTTGAAAAAACGTTTTTGAGTCTTTCCGTTACCCCTGGGATAGGGGGTTTGAGGTCAGTGTGTGATGGGAACTGTCTGCGCTGTGGTAGCTAAACGAATTGGGTAAGTTAATGACAGGGTTTTAATCTTTAATTTACCGTCTACAAGATTGCTACCCTAATGCTATTTTAAACGTATTTTGCGTGTGTGTGTTGTCCCTTTATTGCTTCCCGGTGTGTTGTTTAATAAAAGATATGTTAATGCAAGTGATGCTTCTGTCAGGTTGGCTAGAGGCACTTGTCTTAAGCCTGGCTCTTTATTTTCAGTAAAAATAAAGTGTAAAACACTTTTCTCAGAGTCTGAAGACATTCTTCTGAAGGTGCTCATGGTGATAAGGTGTCCTTGTTTTGATGTGATCACAACCTAATTTCTAGTAGAGAAATTGTTCAGTTGGCATTTCTGGACTTACAAATGCCTGCAACTTGATCTTGATAGGTTATAGGCCTCCCACATCACTGATTCAGAGTAATGTCCTTTGGGAAAGCATTATCATTATTTTCTAATTGATAAACTTCCGCTGAACTATTGGTAAATTTACTTGGTCTGCAAACTAAGATCTCTTAGAATTTAAGACTCGGTTGTAGTAAAGGGAAGAATCCAAATTTGTTAACTCATGTGTATGCTTGAAGAAAACTGATTGGCTGTTGTTATACATAGGTAAACCCCAGTGATAGGTACCATCTTATGCCTATAATTACACCAGCATACCCACAGCAGAACTCTACCTACAATGTGTCCGTTTCCACACGGATGGTCATGGTTGAGGAATTTAAACAAGGTAAGTATTCTCTTATGCTCTCTCTATAAATGTCTTCAGACAGATTTAAAATAGTTCCATTGTGGGTATGCTTTATGAGGGGGAGAGGGGAGGGTGTTAAATAGCTTCTTGACATGAGAGGGAAGTAGAACTTGATCTGTTGCACTTGCGTGGCTTAAAGTTTCACATTATCTGGTGACTTCTGTAGATCTGTCCTTCACTCTCAGTTTCTAAGGATAATTAATGAGAATGCCCTGTGCTCTGAAAATGAGAATTAACAGTACAATGTATTTGTATATTTTAGTGGCTTTAGATTGTGTCCTGCCACGTGGAAGATTAGTGTAGTAATCCCACTTGATGGCCATTTCTCGGCTAAATATACTTGCTCAGAGATGAGGCTTCTAGATTTATCCTAGTAATCTACTTGGATAATTACAGTAGATAAAAAAACATGATGTCAAAGCAGAGTAGACGTGATGCAGAGAGCAGCTACCAGTAGCGCCGCTCTTGGGCAGAGCAGTAGCTTGTCTCACTGATTATTTGCTTTCCTGTACAATACCTTGCGCAAGAGACACTGCAAGTACTGTAAGGAGAAAAATCTTCTTTGGGCTGAGTAGTTACTGTGGATACCCAAAGATGAAATTGACCTGTGTTACACTGCAGAGTGAAAAATAGGTGAAATCATCAGTCCGATCAATTAATGTATGCTTCTAAATGGAACATACCGGCCTTATTTTTAATATAATTTGGATAACTAATGACCACTTAAGGTATGGTTGGAATACAAAGCTTGTTGATAAGTTCTTTTGAATTTGAAGGGGAGGGAAGTAATTTGTAGTAACCTTTTCTAAATGAATAATCTGTTTTTACTCTGGGTACTTAACTGTGTTTTTTTAAAACAAGAAGTTTAAATTTTTTCTTGTAATTTAGGTCTTGCTATCACAGATGAAATTTTGCTGAGTAAGGCAGAGTGGTCCAAACTTTTTGAAGCTCCAAACTTCTTTCAAAAGTACAAGTATGTATTTTATGGCATGGCAGAATATTTTAAGTTTTATCAGTTAAAATATCTAATGATGCTCTGTAGCATAGGATCTTAAGTATACATACATTAGACTTCCCAATTGTTTCCTTAGGCTTTTTCTATACAAAGGGGGTGTGTGAATGCACTATTCTCTTTTCTCGTAGAAAATGAACAATTTTCTCAGATACTTTTTTTCTTTAGTGTGTATTTCAGAAACCTGTTAGTCCCTGAGCAGATGTTTAGAATATCACCAGTTAACTATATAATTGGTGTGCTACCAGTAAAATTGAAGACACATCAGCTGGTTTGAATAGCAAAAATGTTCTTTAGTGGTGTCAGTAAGCATTCTAAAAATGGGTCTTGCCTCCCAGGAAACAAGATATTAAAAGAACTAATTCTGAAGGTCAATATTTAAGATGAATACGTACTTGAAAAACTGTATGTTTTCTTCTGTCAACATAGTCAACAGTTCATTCTGGTAATAAAAGATACTTTTGCAGTTGTGTTGACTAACTGCCAGATGTACTAGATATTACTAGATTTTTTTTTTTTTCTGCATTAAAGCTTAAGGCTTTTGGCTCTTCATTAATACTCTTCACACGTAGCTCTTCTAATTTTGTACTGTCTCTAAGGGAAATGCAGAAGTTCACGCATCACATTTTTAGGGTTTCTAGTAATATGCTTGTGGGGCAGAAGCTTGTTAAATGTATATGGACTTGCTGAAAGTTGTATTTTTACAATAAATATGGATTATTAAAATACGGACTACATCTTCTTTGCCCTCAGTTGAAATTGGAGACCCATTTTTCTTGAATCAAGATCAATATTTTACGCTTGTTTCTGTGTTGGGTGGTTGGTTGGTTATGTACTAATCTAAACAAGATTGAAACCTACAGTTCCCCCATTAAAAGAGACTGATGACCTTCATAATGTGTCTGTGTTTTGTTTCTATACCTTTTGCATGATGAAAGATTTAAAACATTTGGATGGCTTTTGTGTTGTACCTTAGAGATTAAGTTTGAAAACACTTAAAAGAGCACTGTAAAGTTACCTTACTTTTTAAAGATAAGAATGGGCTGAAGACAGATCAGTTTCTGCTCAAGGGGTTGTGAATAAATTCCCTAGTACGTTTTCTGTGTTTCTTTCAAAACTAGGAATAAATAGGGAATATTAAACTAATTTGAAATCTCCAGTGTTAAGGTAGCTTTTTTGTGTGTATCAGCTTTAGTAATTTTGCCAGTTTTAGCATTAAGAGCTTCTCTTGTCAACTTTAAATGTCCAGGTTTTGTATGTTTTGCAGTGTCTTTGCTTTAATTATTTTTTTAAATTGTGGAATGGTAATATGGAGCTTGCTTTAATTTAAATGACCCAAGATTTTTTGTTTTACCTTAGTAAGTTAATTTAAAGTTTTGGTTAGTAACCCTAATGAAATAAAATCATTATATGCAGTCATCAGTACGCAGTGAATGTGGGTCTGTTGGCCAAATCTCCATCTGAGAGCTGGAAGTTTCAGGTTCTCTTTTCCCTTCACATTCTCCTCCTCTTTAAATCGTAGATGCTTTGACTTGTTCATGTGTAATCCTCTGGCAGATAAGATATCTGACCATTGCTCTGAGATGTTAATTATAAAAACACTTCTCTGAAAGCCTGGCTCTAGTAATCTGTCTCACTCTCAGTGGCAATTAGCTGCTAAAAATCTATGTTGATTGTAAACACTTCTGACTTGTTAGCCCTGTTTTAAAACGAACTTCAGTGCTGTGTGACTACAGAAATGTGGAGGCTACTGCATACCTTCATGACAGGAGCAGATTAGAATTTGGGAGAATGGGGAAATGTACTTAATTCTAAAAAGTCAGCAATTGCTTGGAGTTAGGGAGTTGCAGCATATGTTATCTGCCCTTCACGTAGGTCTAAATTTTTCAGATGGGGGAAACAACAAGAAAGAACATACGCTTGCTGGATATGGTGTTTTACAGAGAGATGACTCTTGCTTCAAATGGATGTAACATGAGTGTGAAGTATTACATGAGAATGAAATTATTAGAGCTTAAATCCAAGAAAGAACTACAGTGATAAGGAAAAAAAAAGTTCATTTAATGAGCTCTAGCGTATTGTTTCTCTGTGCTAAAGAGAAGTATCCTGCTAAATAAATGGAATATAAGCACACCTTTTAGAAAGCTACTTTGAACACTTGCCTTGACAGGACTAGTACTGGATAATTTAAAGTGCAAATCCTGGACAGTTTAATAAAGAAAAACTGGAAGGAACATGTTCAGGTGTTCCCATTTTTTCCAGAAAGTAGTGTGACAAAAATAGTTTGAGGGGATTTTTTGGAGGTGTAGGTGTTAATGGTGTAATATTACGGAGTTGTCTTCAATTAGGTTATCAAAATATAATGCCGGTAGGGAGACCATGGGAGGGAAACCAATAGTTTCTAAAACCAACCAAACAAACAAAAAAGCCAAACAAGTCTAAAACGGTATACTTCAAAATAATACCCTGCATCTAAAATCGCCATTGAGAGGTAGAAGCTTAACTTCAGAATTATTTTATTTATCATGAAATAATGGATACTTCTGAATTAGACATATTCTTTGTGATACAATCAAGAATGAAGAACTGATAACAGATCTTGTCTTTGTAAAATTTAGCAGTGAGACCTTGAGATACCATGTATGTCTTAAATAGCACAAGCTGTTTAAAAATTACTATTTAAATTTACTGAAAATGGTAATAGTAGATTTCCTGTGATTAATTCCCCCTCAGCACTGTTTAACAGTTGCGGAAGACGAGGTGGGGGTGGGTAGGGGGGGAAAAGCATCCTTTCCTTCTATTGTTTTTTCAGCTTTATCACTACCTGAGCAAAAATAGATAATCATTATAAATACTTCCATGAACAAGGCTTAGCATTTTTTCTATCTGTTCACTAGGTAGTTGAGGCTTAAACATAGCCAAATTAATTTTTTTTCAAATTGTTCTTCAGAAGTTTGTTTCAAAGAGCTGCTTTTAAAAGGTTTCTTCTAATGAGTTTCTTCATATACTTGGAGATTTGGCATTTGTCTCTTTCAGTGCATATGTGGTTAAAACCAACAAAGATCTTGTCTTTTCTATTAAATGAAACATTCTGCAAGTATGTGTGGTATGTATCATGTAGGAATGTTATGGATGACAGTTGCATGTCTAGTGTTCCTCAGAAGAAATTGATACTAGAAATCAGTAACTTCTCATACACAGTTTGAGTAAAGGACCCTTATTCTCTTCTTTTTTTTTTTTTTTTTTTCCCCCTCCTGGTTAAGCTTCCTGCATTATTGCTTAAATTCTGCTTGACTTGGCAGAGTGTGTGTTCCCAGAGAGATTTATCTTTCTGGAGAAATCTATTACACTTCCCCCTACCCCCCTTCCCACAATCATTCAGATGTTTTAGGAAGACAAGTGGTGGAGTCTTGGTATCCTGCGAGTAACTAAAATGAGGATTTCAATAACAGGAAAAACTCCTTAGCATTTTTATATGAAGCAGTTAATACTGCAAAAATGCAGAAAACTAGATAAAATGCCCTATTTAGGAGGAAGAAGTTTCTCTAAAACTCTTTCCAGTCCAATTATTTCATTGATGTTCTCTGACTGAATTCCAAGTAGCATTCAGCAGGTTTTATTTCTTCTTGCAACCTAAAGAAAAGTATAGGAACATGTAGCTACCGGTTTCATCTGCTGATTTTTATTTACTGTTACAATTTGAAGGCCTGTAGCATCGGAGGACTCTTTCTGCACCATAGGTTTTCAGCATCATTGACCTTGCATTTCTTTCGGAGTTGTATGTGCTAAGGTCTAATTCCTCACATTACTACTGTTTTTTTAAATCCAGCTCTGAAGATACCTAAACATAGCATATCAGTGTAGAGTAATGACAAGTTGGATGATTTAGGATGTTGAAATAGACTTCCCAGCTAAACTTCTGAAAAACCTGACTTGTAAAGTTCCTCCACATCCGTGATTATGAACTCAAAAGTAATCATCTCCCATTCTACTGTCCTTGGGCTTCTTTGTTTAAAATACCATTCTTGCTTTCTATACTGTTCTTTGATTATCCTGGGATATAATTGAGAGCTTAAGAATTAATATCAGAGGAAAACATTCCTTGTGAAGTTTCAGATAAGTGTCTTCACACAGTTCTAAAATGCAGATACAGAACTTTTTTTAAACCACACTAGATAGTGGGTTTTTTTGACTTGGAACAAATGAATATATGCTAACCACTCTTCTAACTATTCAGAAATAATGTTGTGACTAAGACTACTGACATATCTGCAGGTGGTTGTGTACAATTGTTTTTACTTGAAAGGAATCTCTGGTAGTCAGTTAAATCCCTGATCTTATTAGTTATTGAAACTTTTGTATTGTTTTTCAACTATTGCTACATTCCTAGCCTTTTAATAAGGTTACTGGTATTGAAGTGTAGTTGCAAATGTCACAATAGTCTGAAATGTTTCAGGAAGCCCATTAGTCATGTGCTTGGGGTCATAGCCCCTTTTGTCTATAGGGTATATACTTAAGCTAATAATCTGTAGTTTGCAATGTAGAACTTACTGCAAAGTTTTAATATTAAGGTTTGAACGTCTAGTTTTAGAAGTATAAATAGAATAGCATATTGTCTTTATCTCCAAAGGCATTATATTGTACTTCTAGCAAGTGCACCGACAGAAAAACAGCGACTAGAATGGTGAGTATAATGCTTGCTGTTTAAGAGAAAGAATCCCCAAACCACCAAACAACAAAACCGAGAAAATAAAAGCCTGTCAACCTTGGATGCAAGGGAATATCTAGTGTACTTTTTAGTGAAACAAAGTTGGAGCTTCAGTATTTGAAAAATGATTAGATGAAGACAGTATGCTTCTGAAAAGCAGTAGAAATGAAGAAGCAGGGAGTGACGGCTGCTGCTTGAATTTTGCTTCTTAGCAGCACTGCCAGGTTCATTTTAGAAATCTCATTTTCTTAAGCCTTACGCTTTTTTTTTTTTAAGCAGTGTGAGGATGTATGTTTTTTCAATCTCTAGAAATACTATTTCTCAAAACAAAAATGCCTCTGTCCCTTGTTTTTACTTTTTTTTTTTTGGGGGAGGGGGAGAAGTTTTAAGATAGCAAGGTATTGGGAATTTCTTCATCTTTAAAATTCATCATCTGAAGCCAAAAGAATATTGGAGAAATATGTAGGAGTTTCTTGCTGACTGCCTTTTACTGATGTCTAATGTCTTGCTATTTAATTCCATTTGTAAAATCAGGCCATAACAAGAGCTTTAGGGCATTCTTAAGCTTCCCTTGCATTACTTTTTGTAACGCATTCACTTGGTTTATTGATCTCAATTAATCTGTCATGTTTAGTGCACTCACTGGTTCATTTGTAGTTTCAAATACTAGTGTAAGGAGAATGTTAAGGATTTTAACCTGACATACGAAGTTTGATACTTCTGTTATTTTGTGTTAATTAGAACTTGCTAATAAATGACATCTATGCAGGGTGGGCTTGGTGGAATCAAAAATCCGTATTCTAGTTGGAAACCTGGAGAAGAATGAATTTATTACACTGGCTCATGTGAATCCACAGTCATTCCCAGCACCCAAGGAGAATCCTGACAAGTAAGCAAAACTTTTTTTTTCCATGTAATGATAAGGAACAAACTTAGCTAAAATACCAATTCATTAATAAATGAACTATTTTGTATAGTGTACAATAAACTATTTAATAAAGCATTTTTATAGAATCCTAAATGGATGATTTTTTAATGACATCATCTAAAGGCAAACAGTTTTTAAGCTCTTCTCAAGTACTGTTTGTAAAATTAGGTACTATTTATTCTGTATAAAAACATTTCTAAATCAGAAAATTTTCTTTAAAGAAAGAATATATTTCTGCTAACTGTAGTTATTGCATAATCTCTTGCCAACTATCTGTGTTAGCTACTGCTGTTTGGCTGCTGTTGTTTGAGCATGTAGCATCAGTTGGTACAACAGCTTTACTTATGAGGCAGCACTGAGAATCTGGTAGAACATCAGGCACAGTAGAACCGAAATCTTGAGTAACTAAGTACATTCAATGTTATTAAATTCAGCAGTTGAGATGCATGTCACTTGAACTTGGTATGGCTGATGTTAGAATTTCTTGGGGTGTGGAAACAGTGGCGAGAATACCAAGTACTTCAAATTGTTTAGGATTATATATGTTTTTCAACTCCTTCTCCGGTTGCTGCTCCCTCCTTCTCTGCTCAAAGCAACAATTGCAGGTGTGAGAGCTAAAAACTCTTTTTAAGAGTTTGTTTCTAGATAGTCTCGTAATTAACTTGTAAGGAATTATGGTTTTGTGTGGTGTGAAAATGGGGAAGAAATTTTGTCTTCCCTGGGAATATCTGAAAATTCCATACCGCCTTTTCCAGACATCAACTGCTTAAAGTGACAGTAAGGTCCTACTGTGTTTTATAAAGTTGCATACATAAATTACATGCATGCTCCAAGGGAAATTGATCCACAGCAGGCAGTACCTCTTCAGCACCATTTTGGTGGGTAAATACAGCTTCAACTGCCAGTATAATCACAGGCTTCAACTAGCTCTTATTTCAGAGGACTCGATATGGGCAACACTTGTAGGAAAGGTCATTTTCCCAGTGTAAAGAATGTTCTTTTATTTGTTCATTGATTGGCTGGAAAAGCGTTCTTCTGAAATAGTCTTACAGGGGAAAGACATTTGAATTAAAACATTAAATGTCTTGAGCTGCTATGGAAGCATTGCACTACATTCTGCAATGGAATACTTCCATGTGTATGATGTGAAGGTGAGCTCTCAGAGGGAGGCTGCTCTTAGCTGAAAACTGCATTTTGTGGTCAGCTGCAACTAAGAAATTTGAGAGCTGAAGACAAGCTTAAGTGGCAAAATGGAAGTTGTTGAGTCGGGGAATAGATTCTAACTACTTTCACGGTCAGGTGCAGAAAATCTGTCAACATCATTCAAATGGATTTCCTTTACACTTGTAATGGCTAGTTGCTATTCCTAAAAACAAAGAGAATCTATATAGGAGCACAGTTGAATGTAGTAATCTATTGACGATTTTAGTTCATTAAGTTTGTTGGAGATAGATGTGTCAGTGTTTCATGACTTAGTATGAATGAAATGAAAAGGAAATGTTAAACCAGCTTTGTTTGTTTGCCTTTATATGGCTAACTCCTCACTGCTAGTGGAGCTAAAATGTAGAACTGTTGTCTGTTGCAGCAGATAACTTACTCAGTTCTTCTGTCAGTATTATGACTGTTTCTATATAAAATTTTCCAGGGAAGAATACCGTACAATGTGGGTGATTGGGTTGGTGTTTAAGAAAACCGAAAATTCTGAAAATTTAAGTGTTGATCTTACCTACGACATTCAGTCTTTTACGGACACAGGTGAGTTTTGCTTTCTAGATGTTCTGCTGTTAATGAACTTGTTGAAATTACTGTCTTTGTAATGTAGTCTGTTTCAGTAGGAAAATTGGATCTAGACACAGAGTAGAAGGATCCAGCTAAGGAATTAGGGTATTAATTAATGAAATACAGTTTCAATGCTTCTAGATGCTTCAGATTAATTTTCAGTTTTTCATTAAAATAAAGCATGCAAATATTCAAGATCTCACTAAATATGTTATGTTCTGATCTTTTTTTAAACACAGATTTGTTATCATAGGCATACTGCCTAGCCTAACCTCATTTTAAAACTGTGTATAGTTTAAGTATTTTTATTACTTGGTGAAAGAGAATTTATCAGTGGATTAAAGCTGAATTTTCAGTAGTCTCTAAAACAAAATGCCTTTTATTCCATGGCAATTTATACCTGCTAATTGGTTCAGTAACTCTTACTTTCCCGTCAAATACAGTGCAAGAAACCTTTTTGACTTTTTCTGGTGTTTATTTTTTGATTCACAAATAATTTCATTTGCGAAATTTGTAAGCAAACAGGTGGAGAGTCTTAAGACTAAGAAAGGAACAGTACCTTTGACAGGCATACCTAATACATTTGTAATGTCTTTTTTTAAATAAATGACAGTTAAGGCTCAAGTATAACATGTTTACAGAGTTAAAAGGTTCAAGTGGTACCTTATGCAACCCTGGTCTCTGGATTTCTAATAATAAATTGACTGTGAGGAAATTGTACGCCCCGCCCCCCCAGTGTTGGGGTGTGAGTAAATGTAAACATACATTTTTAAGTAAATAAAGCCAAGGATTGAAAGCTTTTTATTTTCATATATAGCTGTAGTAGGGGTGTGGGGTTGTCTCAGTTTGTAGATATATTTGCCTTTTTCAGTCAGATTTTTATTTTCTTGAGAGGTGGGGAATATTCCATTTGATTATGAGTGGGGAAGGTGAAACTATAGACACATCCTAATTTTTAAGAATTTGGAACATGCCTAATAGCTTGGCTGCTGCTTTGAAGGAATCCATGAATTAGCTTCTTGAGTCTTTTATTATTTATAACCAGATATTTCAGTAGTGTACTTGTCAGATTTTTGGTATTCAGTTACTAAAACTTGCACTCATGACTTTTGAATTGGATTCACTTGCACTACATTCCAATCTGAAATTTGTCTAAATGTTTTTGATGAAATGCTACTTCATTTCAGACGACATACATTATAGACTGTGATGCATAGTTTTGTTCAGTTTGTAAGTGCACTTCTGGAGGTAACCAACTAGCAGGCAACTTCTGTTTCTCTTGTGGCTTTCTTTGTCATCTCATAATAATGTGGGTCTGTCTTCATCCTTTTAAATCCATCCTGAAAACTTGTGTTTGCCTTGCCTTTTGGAATAGATCCTAAGAGTTTTGTTGAAACTATTGAAACTTTTTCAAGAATAAAATTAGTGAATAGCTTGCTGATTAGTGGGAGTAAGGGGAGGGGACCCATGAAGAGTGGGCTAGGTTTTCCTTGAACTGAAACTTTGGTAAGACCTAATGTCAGGAATATGGAATGATTTAACCATGTTTGGCTTTCCTGAGTGTGCCCCCCATCTTAACTGTAATGTGTACATGCTTTACACAGAGGCTTTATTGAGCTTCTTCCATACCAAGAATTAGTGTAGAGGGCTCTTTAATATGCAGTATGCATTGAGCTCTTTGTGTGTCTGTCTCTTAACAGCTTTTTAATTACATGTTCACAGCCTATTCAGTGAGATTCCTTAATGTTTATAGAATAGACTGTAAGCAAGAACTCTTAAGTTCTTGTTTTTAAGATCTACAGAATTTTATAATTTTTTTTATTCGTGTGCCACAGCTTTGTGTGATACTGTATAGAAAGTCAGTGTGAAAGAACAATTTTTTTTAGTTTTAGAATCATTTAGCTTGGAAAAGATGTTTAAGATCATCAGCTCCAACCATTAACCTAGCCCTGCCAAGTCCACCACTAAACCATGTCCCTCTGCACCTCCTCTACACATCTTCTAAATGCCTCTGGGGATGGTGAGTTAGGCCCTGCCCTGAGCAGCTCATTCCAGTGCCTGACAACCCTTTTGGTGAAGAAAATTTTTTAACATCCAATCTAAACCTCCCCTGGTACAACTTGAGGCCTCCTGTCCTGTCAGTTGGGAGAAGAGACCAATACCCACCTCTCTGCCCCATCCTTCCAGATAGTTGTAGAGAGTGATAAGGTCTCCCCTGGTCCTCCTCCAGGCTGAACACCCCCAGTTCCCTTAGCAGCTCCTCACAGGACTTGTGCTCCAGACCCTTCCCCAGCTCCGTTGCCCTTCTCTGGACACTCTCCAGCACCTCAGTGTCTGTCGTGCACTGAGAGGCCCAAAACTGAACACAGGATTTGAGGTGCAGCCTCACCAGTGCCGAGTACAGGGGGAAATCACTTCCCTAGTCCTGCTGGCCACACTTTTCCTAATGCAGGCCAGGATGCCACTGGTCTTCGTGGCCACCTGGGCACGCTGCTGGCTCACATTCAGCCAGCTGTTGAACAACCAGCTTTCCAGCCCCTTGTCTCATCCCCAGGCCTATAGCATTGCTGTGACTCAAGTGCAGGACCTGGCACTTGGCCCTGTTGAACCTCCATACAGTTGCCCTTGGCTTTACTTGAATCCAAGGTGTTGGGTTGCATTTTAATTCCTTTACTAGGACTAACCATGGTTGAGTCACTAGAAGTAAATGTTTTGAGGGGAGGAGAAATAGCTCATTATAGTAAATATAATAATAATAAAGAACTTCAAGCAAAGCAGAGCAACCAAAAAACCACCAAAACACAGCAGAGAAAAGCAAACCACTTTATATAAAACGTAGTGGCATCTGAGTTGCCAGAATAATTTATTATAATAAATAATTTATAATACTTTATTAACTGGCACACAGGTATTTAGCTCCTGAATTGAACTGATTTGTTCTAGGAGCTGCATAAAAAGCTGAATCAACTGTGATGAAAATAGTTTTATGTAAATATTGTAGTTCTGATGAGGAAATCTTATTTCCTCCTTTACTCCCCTTTAGATGAAATAATTTGCTTCACAGCTGCTACTGTTAAAACTTATTGTTAACAATGTAGTTTAGGGAACTGCATACTTTCAAGGTATTTTTCTTGGATAACAGGTCACTCTTTTCACTGTAACGCTTTGGTGTTTGTACTATCAGTGCTGGCATAAAAATCGGCAGTTTGCTTTTTCCTCGAGAAAATGAAATGCTATGCTTGGTCTTGAGGGTAATAAATGTTCTGAAATACAAATTGTTTCTGCCTGGGCAAATAAGTGGACTTTGCAAAATGCTTCCACACATCTTAATGTTATTCTAATTGTTTAGTTTATAGGCAAGCAATAAACAGCAAAATGTTTGAGATGGATATGAAGATTGCTGCAAGGCATGTGAAACGTAAGCAACTTCACCAACTGCTACCTAATCACGTGCTTCAGAAAAAGAAAAAGGTAAATTTGACTAACATTTAAGAGCAACAAAAATACCATTGAGAAATGTTTCCTCAGCTTTTTAGATTTTACTAATTGAAGAATGAAAATAGCGTTTTAAAAGCCCAGCTTTACCTGTATAAGCAATGTTATCTCATTTGACTGTAACAGTTATTAATAGATGCACTAAATCTAGTACTAGATTTCCCAGAACATAAACAACATGGATAGTATCTTCAGGTCTGGCTGAAATACCGTATTTTGTTGGCTTTCCTAAACTAAACAAATTTAAAACAGTTGCTGTCTTAATGTGCTGGTCACCTAAAGGAAGCATCTGTAACATTACCAGTAGAACAATCAGTCAAGCAGTTCTTGTTATCTCCAGCTTTTTCCTCTTAAGTTACTAGTTAGATTTTCCTGTGAGTCTCTTAAAAGTAAAATTGCAAGTCACCAAAGAGAAGCAGTATAGAACGTTGAAGGCTACTGCCTTATATACGAAAGGCAGCAACTGAGGATGGATACTTGGAGGGTAATGTCTTTGGGTAGTAGTATATCATAGAGGGGTTTTCTTCTCCACTAAGTTAAAAATCTCTCTCTAAATTCTTTGTATTAATTGTGGCTTTGATGTACATCAGTATTTGAAATTAATGAAGGCAGTATGTATAAGCTCACAAAAATAAACTTGAAATAAAGCTGAAAATACAATCACTAAATATAATAACAGTTTATCTTATGTTTTTGAACATCATTAGTTCTGACAAATCTGTACCTGAATTTTGAATGTGAAGATGTAAAGGCTTGCAGTGACAGGATAGTGGATTATTTACATGTAAAGGGATTTCAAAACTGTCCATGTATGCGTTGCATTTCATAGAATCATAGAAT